GTTTAAAAATATTTTTTTTAAGTAAAGTGTGCTGCGTGAGTTTAAATTCACATTTATTCTTTGTATTGTTCATAAGTAGCATAATGGAAAGAACCCATTAAAAAAAATGGATAATAAAAAAATTTTATGATTTATCGTTTTAACACATATTTGGAACAGCGGACGATTCCGTTGTTTCGCTTTCTCAAAGTCAAAAAGCAACGCAACAGTGAAATTTCACAATAAATATTAAGTTATCGATGTATCGGGCCAGGTCACATCACTAGTTGATGTGAGTATTAAAAAAATATACAGCTTACAGAGTACAAATGGCATCGACATCTAGGTAAAAACCAGATCCCCCAGCAATTTCTGGGCTTTTACTAATGCCTCCTGCTTGCAGACTGGACAATAACAAGGTGTGCTGCTACGCACACCCCGAATCTCCGCTGATCGAGGACTACAGGGCTGGCGACATGATTTGCTCGGAGTGCGGTCTGGTGGTTGGGGACCGCGTAATTGATGTGGGCTCCGAGTGGCGAACCTTCAGCAACGAGAAAAGCGGCGTAGATCCCAGTCGTGTGGGTGGCCCGGAGAATCCGCTGCTCAGCGGCGGCGACTTGTCCACTATAATTGGTCCTGGCACGGGGTCCGCATCCTTCGACGCCTTTGGGGCCCCCAAGTACCAAAACAGACGTACCATGAGCAGCTCAGACCGCTCCCTTATCTCAGCATTTAAGGAAATATCATCGATGGCCGATCGCATTAATTTGCCAAAAACCATTGTCGATCGGGCCAACAACTTGTTCAAACAGGTTAAAGTCTATTTTTGGTAGAAGCGGCCAAGATCTGATGAAATTTTGTTTTAGGTTCATGACGGAAAGAACCTCAAGGGTCGATCCAACGATGCCAAGGCGTCTGCTTGTCTGTACATTGCTTGCCGTCAGGAAGGAGTTCCTCGCACATTCAAGGAAATATGTGCCGTCAGCAAGATCAGCAAAAAAGAAATCGGTCGATGCTTCAAGTTAACATTAAAGGCACTGGAAACCAGTGTAGATCTTATTACCACTGCGGACTTTATGTGCCGCTTTTGCGCAAACTTGGGTAAGTGTTTTTGAAGGTACTCAGTAGTTGAGAAACTGAAACATTTCCTGAATTATCAGACCTGCCGAATATGGTTCAACGCGCTGCCACGCACATTGCAAAGAAAGCCGTCGAGATGGATATTGTTCCGGGCCGTTCGCCAATTTCGGTGGCTGCAGCCGCGATCTATATGGCCTCACAAGCTTCTGAGCACAAGAGAAGTCAGAAGGAAATCGGTGATATAGCCGGAGTGGCCGATGTCACCATCCGGCAGTCCTACAAACTTATGTATCCGCACGCAGCTAAGCTCTTCCCCGAAGACTTTAAGTTTACCACTCCTATTGATCAGTTACCGCAAATGTAAACCTTTTCGTAGATCCGATGCTCAATACTAACGCTAACGTTAAGAGAAGAATTCTTAATTTAATCACAAAGTTTACGATTTTATTAAATAAAGTTAGCATAACTAATATTCAAATAGAACTGTTGGACCAATCAGAGCATAATTAATTCATTGTTTAAAGTAGCTGAGTTAAACCCATACAGTTTTTGAACTTTATTCCAATGTTTCATAATAACTCGCTTGTTTGTTTTATTTTTACACTTTATAGCTGGCTTATATGTATGTATCATGGGTATAGGCAATTATAAAGAAGCTAATAATCACAAACAATAATTGCGAAATTCATTATTTTACAAACAATATACTCTGTGTATCCATAAGCTTTAAGTTTTTAGTAATAGTATGAATGGTTAAAATATTCGCAAATAAGAAGAAAGGGAAACCTGTAACAGTCAACATTTTCAATTGCAAATAAAGCGGGCGTTAAAACGTAGGAGGCCAAGGTGATTTGGAGAGCTAAGCACGCCAGCAAAATAGTCAATACAAAGCAAAATATGTGCTAATAGTAAATGACGAATTATCAGTCGCCAACAATAGTTATTGCTGAGTTTAAACAGTGTAAATTTAGATAACTAGTCAATAGAGAGCGAGCACTTTTCATCATCGCTGTGGCCCACGCATTCCAGCGCAGGACGATGCTCGGAGTCCCACATCCCGGGGCCGCACCGCTTGCACAGGCCACTCAGGGTGCACGGGATCTTCGGCAGCTGGCGGTATTGGTGGAGCAGGCCGCGCGCCTTGCGCAAGATCAACTGCCCGTCCATGTACATGGCCAGCGAACTGAAGTGGAGCAGCATCTCGTCCGGGCGCAGATTCTGGGCCACCACATCGTCCGCATAGACGGCTATGATGGCCAGGCAGAGGAACAGATGAAAGTAGTCCGTCAAGTAGTTCGACCAGCAGGCCTCCCACATCCGGATGACCACCGCCTCGGTAAACTCGCGCTTGAAGCAGAGGAGCAGCCAGCGGTGGCAGAAGAGCAGCTCCATGGAGTCGTTGTGCTGCTCCAGGTGCTCGTAGAACCGTGGCAACATCACCCGGATCAGTTCCCGCAGGTAGCTCAGGTTGTGGTCCACGTCCCTGTCGGTGGGAGTGCATACGAAGAACGCCCGCTGCATCAGACCCACGAAGCACCAGAAGGTCTCCGACTCGTTTTGCACTTCGCACAGAACAGGTGCCAAGAGATCACTCATACCCTGAAATATATCGAAACGTTGAAGGATTAATTTTGATTTGTATGTATCCTATCTGCTGAATTATTACGAATATATTTCTGGATTACCAAGCCGAAGCAGGCCCATCATTTCGGATTAGGAAAAGATCTTTCAGGAAACCTAAGCTAACTGCTTAATAGTAATAGACTCACTTGAGAATAGGACATCCCAGTGTTGTATACAGCGAAGTTGAGCAGAATGTTTTTCATGACCTCGGTGTTGGGGTTATCCTCGCCACAAAAGAAGGGATTAGTGCGGTCCGTTCGTACCACGTCCTTTTCAACCACATTTTGCACAGTCTTCCAGAAATGTATCTGCTGTTCCGGGGACATGGAGTACAGACGTTTTCGCGTTATTTCCTCGTACTCCTGCCGCTTAATGTCCATAAGAACTGCGCGATCCTCGAATGTTGATGAGAATGAATAGCACTTGAGGAGAAAAGGCCACACCGTCTTTCTCAGGCTTTTCTCTAGGCCGCCAAAGAACACGCACTTCCTAAGAAGCAAGTCGTCCTCGATCTGCCCCTTCTCGTTGAGGAGTGTGCCATAGAAGAAGTTCGTGGTTATCTTCTTGACATCTCCTTCATCCGGATGCATCTCGGATTTCTTAACCTCCGGCCGACAGACCATGAAGTGCCTATACGGCAGGTCGAACTTATCCTGACCCGTTTCCGACGTGATGTTGTGCAGAAAGCAGTGCCACTGATGCAAAACCTGGGCCAAATGGTCCAGTCCGCCGTAGTGGAAATGGAGTATCTTGTACTGCGACTCCCGCGAAGCAATAACCAGCTGACCGGAAGTACAGTTGTCGTCGTTGAAGAAGAGGCGAAGCGATCGCATTTGACTCAAATCAACGGAAAAATGGCGACACTTCATTACCGATTTCTGGCGATCGGCCGGCGTCGAATTACCGCTATCCGGAAACTCTAGGTTGTGCTTAAAGGCCAAGAGTTCCGGAGTCGTCCACTTCGGGTTATCGGATGCTGGACCATCCGAAACGCCTGGTCCACTGGAGCATTCGGCGCAGTTGTTTCCATCGGTCCGTATAGTAATGCAGTTGAAAGATTGCGAAATATTGCTGTTTTCGATTTGCGGATTGGAAATCGTAATGTTCACCGATGTGATAGGGTTATTCTTCAGCAAGGCCGTTAGATCGTCTATAGATGCGGTTTGACCCCCCAGCAGTGGCTGGAGTTCGTTCTTCAGCTCCTGCATCTCCGCCGCGTTGTCATCCTCCTCCCGGATGTCCCGTTCCTGGATCGTCTGGGGTATGGTCACGTGACAGTAGCCGTTCCGGGAGTCCGGAGACCTGGTCCTCGGATTGCACTGACCCCGGCAATCCTCGGTGTTCAGGTTGGTGTATTTACATAGTGAAGAGTTCGGTATCCAAGTGAGCAGAAGCGTTGGCCTCTTGGCGCTGTTGTACTGATCCACAAAGGTCTTCGTCGTGCACGTAAGATATCCGGGGTTGTGTAAAATATCAGATTCATCCCTTGCGATTGTGGGCGGATGAATGCAAACGTTATTCTTGCAGAAGAGGATTTCGTTGTCTTCGTAAGAAATATCGATTTTTTTGTCCAATCTTTCGTCACCTAGTATGAAGCTAGATGCCTTTTTGATAATGCTTCCTATGGGCATGTTTGAACGTAATATTGTTGAGCGGGTGGCTAAAACGCGATTTAAGTTTTCTTTACGGATAATTCAGAGTGTTTTCTAACAGGGTAGGTAGGGAAATTTTCCTCTGGTTAGCTTTTGGTTTGGTCAATTTTGGATTGGCAATGGTCGGTGGTTACCATAATTCATGCGATTTTAAGTGTGACGCATTGACGTGGCGGTTGATTTTAACACAATGGATTAAATAAAAGAAAACTATTAACTTTGATCTATGTAGGGACCTCTCACAAGCAGGATGACATTGGAGGAAAAGAATTTGAGTGCTAAATTAGCGCAGGCGCGTTTCAGAGCTTGGTTTTAAAAATAGTTTCGATATATGTATAAGCTCTAAGGTTTTTAGGGATTCAAGTATTAATACTTCCTTTTGATCTTGCATACACTTGCTAGTGCAATTAATATTTTAAAACAACTGGGTCAATGAAATTATAATTTTTTTTTAGTTGTATAGTTAAAATAATCTTGAAAATTCATGAAAAGAGATATATAATTTATTAATTATTTTAAATATTTATTTTTTACTTACAGATTATTTTAAAATCAACACAAGAATTTTTATTTTTAAATATATATTTTAAATATTATACCTGCAGGAATTTTGAAATTGACACAGAAATGTTTTTGCTGGCCATGTATCGATATATTTACTTTTACCATCCCTAATTTAATCAATAAACGCGTGAAAATATTTACATTATTGTTGAGTTTGTTTTGAGTTGTTAATACAATGGCAAGCAAAAGAAAGCACCCGGCATCTAAGAAAGCACAGGAAGAGAACTTTAAAAAACATACACTTGACTCAGACGAAGAGGATTCCGACGACTACGAGAGGTAAGACTGAAAATCCAAAATCACAATGGTTTGTTTTGATTTGAGTACCGTGTGTTTGCAGGGAGTATCTTAATGATAGCGACATCGAAGGAGGCGAGGAGGGAGTGGCAAAAGTAGAGGACGATGTAAAGGTAACTCCGTTTAATATGAAGGAAGAACTGGAGGAAGGACACTTCGACAAAGATGGTCACTATCATTGGAACAAGGAGTCGGAAGCAAAAGACAATTGGTTGGACAACATCGACTGGGTTAAGGTAGGATCCCATCATTATATGTGAAATTTGGGATATCACCAATATTCGTGTTACAGATTGGCAAGCAGAAAAACGCTTTTGACCCTGCAAAAGATGATCAGAATTCCAACTCCTCGGATGAAGATAAGATCGAACCTGCGGGAAAGGCCTTCAACTTGTCCATGAATCTGATGAAAATGCTCGAGTTCATGAAAGAGGGAGAGACTGTAAAGATGACCCTGCAGCGACTGGGGAGCCAGCGTCCCGTTCTAACAACTCTACAAAGAATTAAGCAGAAGAAAGCCGGTATTGTTGACACAAAGACTCAGGAAATCTCCCATCTCACCGAGCTGGCCAATGAGATCCTTTCGAAGACGGGCAACATGGACATTTATCAAGAGACCTATGAAAGCATCAAGTCCAAGATCGCCGACTTGCCAGGCACTAGCAAGCCCAAAGCAGCCGATGATATAGACATGTATGCGGATGATTTCGAAACAAAAGAGTTGGAGAGGTCAAAAACCTCGGACCCAACTGCGAAACCAACGATGACTACCTCGGAGGTGACCTGGGAGTTCAAATGGTCGCAAAATGAGACTGAAATCCAGGGCCCTTTTACCACTGAGAAAATGTTGAAATGGTCACAAGAAAACTACTTCAAAACCGGAGTCTATGTCCGAAAGTGCGGCGAAAACACCAATTTCTATACCAGCAACCGCATAGATTTCGATTTATACTTGTAAGCCGTAGCTAACAAATATTGTAGTTATCTTTTTCAAGTTAGTTTGTTCTTTTGCACTAGACTTTGTTTTACGTCAGATAATTCAAAGCTAAAAGAAAAAAGCATTATATTTAACCAATTGATTAAGTTGTTATCATCAATACGCATTATAATATTCTAGTTTTTTCAACTGGGTGAGCAATTTTAAAAATATCTTATTTGATTGATTTGAATTTTATTGTATCAAATATTTAAAGTTAATAAAAAAAGCCAGTTAACACTTAAACCTCAACTACAAATAAAGTAATTTAGTTAAAGGTCCAGGTCTATTATGTTTCTGGGCCATGAATGGTTTAGGCTTTATTAAGCCGTAAAAAGGAAAGTTTGTAAAGCTTCGGGTCGTAACCTACAGGTAAAATCATTTCAACATTTGTAGCTAAGGGTATGGATTTGGTAGACCTGTCTAATTTGTAACCTCTTTAAAATACTAGGCATGATTTTATATTTAGACATTTCATTTTGTTTTTTCATTTTTTACCTGTAAAGATGACAAGTTTAAAATGTGCCAACGATAGTATGAAAAATATTCGATTACCAATATACAATCGATGATTATGGAGCTTTGACTTAGGTTCGGGAGCTTCGACAACCCTGGAAAACACATCGATTAACGCAGCTGAAAATTGTTTTATGTTTAATTAAATACCAGCAGATAAGCAGAGTACTAATTGGTGTTATGGGCGTTAAGTAGTCGCCACCGTTTCCCACATAAGACTTTGGTTACTGTTGATTTCTTGTACCAGTTACCTACTCCTAGAAAAGAAATCAAATTTGTTAGTGCTTCTGTGTTGCTGGACACTCACTTGTCATCGGGGCTTCGAAGAAAATAAAATTCTAGACCAGCCGCAACAATTGTCAGAATGACGACCAAACACATATATTCCACGACCAATTTATCGGACCTGCAGCTGAAGGAGCAGGGCAATTGCCTGTTTGCAGCCCGAAAATATGACGACGCAATAAACTGCTACTCAAAGGCCATCGTGAGTATCATACATACTTATTGTATTATTGCAATGTTTACAGTGCCATGTTTATGCTACCGTATACAGATAAAAAACCCCACAAACGCCACCTACTTCACGAATCGAGCCCTCTGCAACCTGAAACTGAAGCGATGGGAACTGTGCTGCCAGGACTGTCGGCGCGCCCTGGACATCGATGGGAACCTGCTGAAAGGACACTTCTTCCTGGGCCAAGGACTCATGGAGATCGACAGCTTTGACGAGGCCATAAAGCACCTGCAACGGGGTTAGATCCCTGCGAACACGATTGGCCCATGCTCTAACTATATTTAAATTCCAGCTTACGATCTCTCCAAGGAACAAAAGCAAAACTTTGGGGATGATATTACCCTGCAATTGCGACTTGCTCGCAAAAAACGTTGGAACGTCATGGAGGAGAAGCGAATACAGCAGGAAATTGAATTGCAAAGCTATTTGAATCGGTAAGATACCCTTATTAGTAAACGGTGCAAAAAAGGATTATATAGAGGGGTACCACAGAAATCCCATCATATTGGGATGTACATAAGAATCGATGTTTGATTTCGGTGCTACCTCCGATAGTAATCCTACGAATCATTCCAAAAAAGTAACAATTCTTATGTTGCAATATTGTGGATTTGTAATAGCATTTTTGAGCCGATCCTTAAATGATACCACATAAAAACTTGAATTCACAACCGACCGGCATAAAAGTGAAACCAAATAGCCAAATGTGATATTTTTACAAAAAGCATATATATGATGTTGCTCGTTAATCTATATGTCTCAGGGCATATGTATATGCAAATTGTTTGAACATGGAAAAGATAGATAGAGTTGTAACAATGGTGTTTTCGTCAGATAAGTAATTTAAAGTATTTTTCAGTTTAATTAAAGGAGACATGGAAAGCCGTTTGGCAAATTTACAACTTAATGAAAGTACACATGAAGAACAGCTAAAAGACAAACAACAAGAGATTGAACAAGAGTGTGTAAGTTTTTTCCTCAATTTTCTAAGCGGAGTTTACCTACCAAATAATTTAAATGTACAAATTAATAAAAATTTTATTTATTTTATCAGGACGACCATATAAAAGAACTAAACAACATATTTTCTAAAGTTGATGAACGCCGAAGGGTAAGTAGCATAGCAAATCAACCAAAAGTCAAACTTAAATTGTATTTTTAACTTTACAGAAGCGCGACGTTCCCGATTTTCTATGTGGCAAAATTAGTTTTGAAATATTAACGGACCCTGTGATAACTCCGTCTGGAATTACCTATGAACGCAAAGATATAGAAGAGCATTTACAGCGCGTTGGACATTTTGATCCTGTTACACGTGTGAAGCTCACTCAGGATCAACTAATACCAAATTTTTCGATGAAGGAAGTGGTTGACTCTTTTATTGCAGAGAACGAATGGTCTTTAGATTATTGAGTTATGTATTATGGAATAAACATTGTAATTGATTAGATGTTAGAACCCAGTTCACATTGTCTAAAAACCAGAATAGTGATAATAAATGTGGATCTGCAACTGATTTAGGTAGTATTATAAAAATGAGGGTAAATCAAGCCCAAGATGTTTTTCAATACTAACACATTTCTTTAACAAAACATTTTTTACATGTTTTTTTTACACAAACAGTTTCGGTTTGAACATGTTTATTTGGATTTAGGTGTAAAAACATTTAAACCACCGTACCAAAAAAACAGCTGATGCAAGATGCGAAAGATGCATTTGTGTGCATTTTCAAGTAATCGAAAATTGTAAAATTTTGGTTTCGATACACCGGTTCGTTTCAAATGCAAGAGCCGCCAATACCTTGACAGTAGCTAAACATCGATAGACATTTGTTTACAGAAATCATTTTCAAAGGAACGGTGATGTCCATTCCTAATTGTTTTTGATTTGACTTGGATTTCAGTAATATAAATTTTGTAAGCCATGGATTCGTCTGAAAGCCAGTCGCAAACTTCGGCGGAGGGCTCAGCTCAAGATGTTCGGATCTTGTGTTTGCAAAACCTGATTGAGAAGAACATTGAGATAGGTAAGTGCCATAGCATCGCATTATAATGGCTTTAATATAACACCTAATATTTATTTCAACGCAGAACAACAGATTGAAAGCAAGACATTTGACCAATCCATCGCGGCAATCGAAGAAATCATTCGAACAGCGAACGATATAAACAAGGGTCATGAAGACCGCCGTACAAACTCCACGGAACTTGTTCTGGACACTGAATTATTAAGACGCAATCATGAAGTTGTGGGCAAAGCTATACAGTACAACACTAACTTTACGGACAGGATGGTGATCACAGCGATCGTAAGTACTCACTGCAGGTTTTTAATACTTCACTATAATGTCCAAACATCCAACAGAATGAATTGGTTTTCAAAGAACAAGAAGAGGATTGGGACGCTGTCTGCGCACTGGCTGTTCAATTTGGGAGACCGCTCTTCTCGAATGACAGTATGCTTCCCTTCATAGATGTTGCTCCAAAGGAGGTCATTCCCAAACAGCGGGCTCAACGCAAACAGAAATCTCAAGTAAGTATACTTGTCCGACCCCCTTAAAGTATGTACAATGTACAATGAATGCACATCGTTCACCGGTTGCATGCCCTGAGCTATGCGTAGCCTGATCACGTCGAAAACCGAATGTTCAATCCCTTCTGACAATATCCTGCAGCCAATATCACTGTGGACGGCAGTCCACGTAGTGACGAAGCGAACCATGAGAGTGTGCGAAGTCGACTACTATATATGGCCGCAGAATTTAGGGATTATCGAGTCAACTTTGATACTTGTAAATATACTTGCGACTTTTATTAAAATTAGATGACTTTATACCATATCTTCATACAAATCTACTAAAACTGCTCTTAGAATAAACGCTAGATGACTTAACAAATAGGCTCTTTTGTAATATACCCAACAGTCGTGGACCATTTAGCAACAATACTTAGTTAAGGACAATTAACAATATCTAAAATATTAGTTCAGTTTTTAGTTAAATTACTTCTTCATTACAATTGTTTCTTTCAGGTGGAGGAAAAGCGTCCAACGAAAAGTGATAAATTGGATCGGAAGGACGAAGGAGCAGCCTCCGTTACCCACATGTTAAAACAAATCAGGCAAATATATAGAGAGGGAGGTCATCAGCCGATACCGTATTTCAAATTAATTTGTAATCCGAATAACTTTATGGACACGGTTCAGAATGCCTTGCAACTTTCGTTTCTTGTCAAAGAGAACATCATTTCCATTGAAAACGGTGACGATGGTTTGCCTTTGGTTCGCGTTGTGAATTCAAAAAATGCAGACGGAAATGAGTCTGCTCAGGCTATTTGCTCTATCGATGTGTCTTTTTGTGAGGTAAGTACCGAATGTTATGTTTAAATGATTTCCATCTTAAGGTTTTCATTACAGAAAATGGCAAAGCACTACAATCTACGTGAGCCAATGTTGAAAAGACTTCCAGTTAACGAAAGTTAGATTTATCACTCTATTTCTATTATTAGTTTTTAATGTTACAAATAAAAGCAAGAGACAAATCGTTGAAAGATAATCTCCGCCTCTATTTAACAGTATTTGCATAACAATTTCTCCAATTTTTAGGGATGACTGAATGGTATCGCATTCTTTTTGACAAACCATAAAAAAATGTAGTACTGAAGAGATTTTGATATTCTAATTTTTTCAGGGTCGGGATTCATCGGCTTAATAGAAGAAATATTTCCCCCAAAAATAAATTACCGTAATAGCAACACAAAATCATTAAATTAATTTTATTACTCAAACAGTTACTCCACGGTCCAACAAGTTCCCCCAATATTTTACCATAAATACGCCTCTGACATTATGACAAATTTTATGTCCGCCTACAATTTGGGAAATAGATGGGGCACTTGTGAAGACAAAACAGTAGTGACGCTGGTGAAGGTACGTTGGGTGAAAATTTAAAAGATAGTTTAAAAGCGAATTTTAGGCAACAAGGAATCCATTTTATAATCCATATACTGATTGAATGATTGCCCAAGTTCTTTTTGCACATATCTGCACCAAAAAAACGTGCATACTTGAAAATGCACTACTTGGGTAAATATAAAAATATGTTATAAATTGGCTTTACCCTTTACCCGTTCATTAATTAAAAAATCACTCCTAAGCTTGAAATACGAGTACTTTCGCCTGCACAGTGCTATTAATTGAATTCCGTTAACTTAATTCTACAAAGAAGAAATTAAGATTAATTAAGATTTATTACGCAACGAAGCTTAGGGTTAATTGCATTTGTGTGGTCGGTGGAGTTTAAAAGGCTTGGCGTAAAATAAAGGCTTGATAATAGGGCAGCGCTCCTATACAAACTTGATAGGGCACATGAAATTACCAGAGACACTATTGTCCGAGATTTTGAGCTTTCTACCTCATATCGTCAGAAAGAGTTGACCTAAGTGTATTAAACTGAGTCAATGTTTAATTATATATAAAACCAAAATGAAGATTTATTACTCCATATCAGCATAGCAACGATCGACCTAATTAATGGTCGCCCAATCTTGAAAATACAAAATTAATGATGCACAAGCGCAGTTTAAATAAGTTTGCCAAGATGGCGATTGTCTTAGAAAAACTCTCTCAAAATTATTCACATTGTAATTTATAAAGAGCAGACAAATATTTAAGTATTCTTTATTTGCGAATTCATTAGCAATTGACTATATGAAATTATGAACTACCCCTTTCTTTTCATTCGTCTTTATTAAAAAGGGATTAGGTATAGGTATTTACAAAATTATTCAAAAGTATAATACATTTTATAGAGGTCATTTTAAAGAATTATAATATATATGTCTTGCAATTAATACTTGGATATCCTATCTTAGGTAAGACAATTCTAATTTAAGATTTACATACTCAATATTTATATCCTTCTTCTATTCTTTTTCCATTTTCAGGACCCTACATAGTTTTCATCCAATGTGGGAAGCTTAACGCCAAAACGAGCTGTGCTAAATTACAACCAAATTCGGCTCCATAAATTTCTTTGGATTACTTTCGCATTAAGCGTTTGCGTAAGGTTCGAATGTACATTTGTTCTCGCATTGATATTCCGCTGAAAGCTACATAAAGTTAAATGCATACATATGCAGAGACATCACCCACATTATTGTAACTCACCCGTGGTCACACGTACAGCTGCGGTCAGCGTAATAGCATCACCGATCCAAGGTGAAATGGGTTTCCCAATATATTTATTTATTTCTCCTTCCTTTCGGTCGGTATAGGGCAACCCCCAACTTTTGTTTAAGGTTAAATTTTATTAAAAACTTCTACTATTAATAGGATAACTTAGATACTAATACAAGTAGCTTTTATATTTTTTTATATTTTATGTTTGAGGTTATGTTCAAGATATGATATTTTAATGGAAAATTGAGTTTAATTTAAGTTCTTTTATTAATATTTAAATTCTATGCTTCTATTTCTTCTCGAACTGTGCATATGCACTTATCTGTATGTACGCACGTTTGGCTCCAGACTTTTGGGTGGCGCTGGCAATCGACTCTATGCCCATGCGAGTGGTGGGGCCCCACTCCTCCAGGGAAATCGGGGAGCTCCGGGTGCTGTTGTTAGCACTACTCGATCGCTAGAGCTTCGCTGATGCTCGCGCGCTCTGCCTCAACACTTTTGTTCCCAAAGCCGCTTTCCCGAAAATTCAGTTCGGATTTCAGTTCGGATTTGAGTACCACGCGATGAAGACGGCGGCTTCAATTAATCCAGAATTAAGAGTGCAGTGATACGGGGTGTTTTAGTTTTTGCAAATAGTTAATCAAAATAATGAAGGAAAGCCTTAGAATTAAATAACCTTTGCTCTCTTAAAACTTTGTTATCTCTGTGATTGTGTAAATTAAATTCAAGCTGAGATCCTTCAATGATTTAATGGTTAAATTTTAAATTGTAAAACTTATGTTGTATCCATCAACCGTCTTTAAAATATAATTAACATTTTCTAGTGATCTTAACGGAACCTGTTTCAATAAGGTATTCCGATAAATTATTGTTTTAAAAGTATTCAAAACATAATTAAAATTTTCTAGTGATCTAAACGGAACCTGATTCAAAAAGGTATTCCGATAAATTATTGATTTAAAAGTCTTCAAAACATAATTAAAATTTTCTAGTGATCTTAACGGAACCTGATTCAAAAAGGTATTCCGATAAATGATAGTTTTAAAAGTAATCCATATCCTTTTGTTTTTCTGTAGGCTTTTCAATGAATCCAAATATCTACAATTGTTCGCTTTGTTAACTTTTGGCCTCTTCAATGCCCCGAAGACATGTTCAATACGGTCTTAATTGCTTTTTCGGAAATGTGTGTAATCGATTCGGGCTTTCTTGAAATGCGTTTTGGGACAAACCAATTTACCTCACTCATATTGAACCGTTATCTTCTCGATGACAGTAATCACTCAAGTACTGAATGCATAATGAAAGAAAGCTTTCTGTCGATGGAGGTTTCAATTCCCATAACACTATATTATTTTGCATGCCTAAAATGTAGGAAGGTAATTGCAGTCATTAAGTTTTAGGATTGAGCGGATAATAACACAGTAAGCCAGAAAAGTAGTTGTCCAAATCCAAAAGCGAAATCAAATGTATCCACTGGTGACGGACTCTAAAATTTTTCACATAATGTGGTTCGGTTATCTTCTTCGGCGAGCTATTTAAACAATCCCATCTGCTCGCATACAGATGTTTCAAAACTATTTCCCGTTTTGCTTTTGCTAATTGCGGAAGTTTCACATAATGTGTGCGAGTGAGAATGACGAAATACAAGAATGCGAGAATATGACATATGTATCAAAATATTTTGGGCAGACGTAATTTGGTTTCTATGGGCGGCCGATTGAAGATTTTCTAAACACTTCAGTTTAATGCAAGTTCTTCATAATATCCGCGCACTCTTCGAATTGAGTGTTTCTGAGTTCAGTGGCATGGTGAAGTGCTAATGCCATTGCAACACTGCCTTGGGGCTGTGCCTACATGGGCAAATGCAGTTTCACTGCATGATAGGCCCAATATGGGCCTATTGACACAGATAAGTATGAAAAGTACATTGTGACATTAAGAATTCGTATACCCGGTACTCGTACAGTTCTAGGGTATATCTTCACTTTCCGAATGGGTGTCAGTGTCGGAAAAAGCACTTTCAACCTCATCGGGCTTACTCCTTATGGGGATGAAGTCTATACTTTGAAACTTCTGAAAGTATTTCTTAAAACTGGCGAATTGGGATCCGATTATATGATCTCTAGCTTCTTTGATCAATGTACTAAGCATCCTCCCCAATTTTTTATATTTATTTGATTCCCAGTGTTTTATGATCCTTTCAAGGAGTTTTTATAAACCGAAAACCTAGATTATAGGGTATTCTTAAGCGCTAGCTTGAAGCGAACTGATTTATATAATTATATAACATATTTTATGTGCGTATTTGTAGTATACGCAATAGATGTGTGCTCATACATAGCTCTAAAATGTTGAGTGGGTGTGGAGGCTTCTAATGAAATACGCCCTTCCCATTTTTGTTCACGGATTTTTGTAGTGTATGCTGCCGAAAGTACATCCATTCCAGTCGAATAGTCACGGTCGGTTTATTCGTAATCAATGAAAATAATGGAACTTGAGTTCCTCTGTGCGAGTTGCTAATACAAAGCATCGATATGCGTACAGGCAAACATTGAAGATCGCTTAAAACGATACTGAATTTATATAAAATGTATCCAAATATACGTAGTTCCTGGGTTAAAAGCTTTTTGGGATTAGAGAATTTCGAATGTCTATGGCCACGGCTTTAGATTTTTTAATATGTTTTATGCTTTCTCTAAAAAATAAATATAAGTTATCAAAATTAATTAATCACTTTAAATATATTTAATTTCATTTTCTCTTTCAGGCTTAAAAATGGCAAGGCTATTTTTAATATTCAGGTAAGAAAATAATATCTAGAGACCCTATTTTGATCAATTTTTTTCTAAAGTTGAACTAAATGGATTTCGGTTCGATAGAAACGAATTTGATAGCCAAAATGAAGGCGGGGTGAACATCTTCCTCAGCTGCATTTAATCAAGATTTGTTTACCCTCGCCGCCGAACAGTGGCTCGTTTTCACAGAATACTTTATGAAAAGTGTAGCTATCAAACACATCTTGATGCTTCAAAGAACTTTTTTTGAAAGCAACAAAAAATATATTTCTCACAAACTGCCAATGCACTTTTTGCCTTTGAAATTGTCTTGATTCATCAGTGTCCAATCGGAAGTAGAAAAGTGATTGACTCATTTGATAAGCAACTCAATATCCGTTCCAATTCTATTTAACACTTTACAAGAGGAGCTTTCCTACTTATTTAAATACCATTGCACAAATCTAATATTTTTTTATTTTCAGTATTCTTACGATTCTCGCATATATACCCGACACCAGTTTCGTAATAGCGGAATTAACTACAAAAGAGCGAATAAAGGTACGTTTTCAATAGACCTTTTAAGATTAAATACTTGGAATACGTTTTTTTACTATTTTATTATTATTTAATTACATATTAAGAATACTTAATTATTTACTACGGACAGCCTTCCTATAAATCATATTAATTGCTGCCGGGAAAATTTTGGAATAAAAGGCTTGGGACAGAAGGGATCTAGCACTATTTTATAAAATTTTTGTGGCGCTTTATTGGCGTTGATAAGCTAGGAGCTCAAAAACTAAATTAAATGACGCACTTCTTTTAATAGCAAGCTAATCTTTTAAGTCGTTAATTCTTTTTTAATGCCTTCATAATTCCTCATGTAATTGCTATATATGTCGAGAACATCGTTCTGTTCGTTTTTATGAAACGTTTATGTTTAACTTTGTCTGGCGTTTGTGTTGTCTGAAGTATTGTTCTTAGTTTCTCTCAATCACACGATAACTTTGCCCAATTGCCGGGAAAAAGTTTGTAAAAGGCAGGAGTAAGCGTTTTTGATCGCCTAAAACTGTTGGCGTCCATAGTTTTAGTGCTAGAATATAAATTTTAACTGCATTTTATAAGTTTCGTCAATACCTTTTAATTGAACCAAAAAAATGTTTGCCACGCCCAATCTAAGGCCCTGCCTCCTCAATGGGTATCTGTTAGGCGGGGCACACGAGTTCAGCGTTCTCCCTTGCTATACCTGTTACTCGTATGTTAAAGGGTATACTAAATTCGTCGGAAAGTATGTAATAGGTAGAAGGATGTGTTTGCGACCATATAAAGTATACATGTTATTGATCAGGGTCACTAACTGAGTCGATCTAGCCATGTCCGTCTGTCCGTATGATAGCTGAGATCTGGGAAACTTTAAGATCAAGAATGTTGGCTATTAAGCATGCAGATTCTTGGACTTCCTAGGCAGCGCAAGTTTGTTTCAGCCGGGTATTTCGCCCACTCGAACTCCCCAATCTTACATTTTTTGTGAAAACGAGGGATAAAATGAGATTTTGTTCTTATAATCAATACCCACATACATGCCAAAAATTATTCAAATCGGACCATTTGTTAAAAAGTTATAACCAAAAAAATCAATAATTAGCCAATTTATCTAACAGTCGAGACCATCGACTATAGCGCTTTCTCTGTTTTATTTTAAATATATAGGTCATTAGTATCAGATTATTTGTATTATAAATATTACATTTTTTTCTTTATGATTAGAAACATCAAGAATGGCTGAGAGAGCACCGAAAACCCAAGACGAAAAAAATTCATTCGAACAACTCATATTTTGAGCTCGCCAATTTGTGGCATACGAGAAAAGATTTATCGCTTAAGCAAAAGCCAAATAACAAAGAAGAATATTTGGAGAACGAGACCACTAGTAAAATATCTAACAAATCCGATGAAAAAGTATTAAAGCCAACGAGTATACTAATAAATATCACAAATCAAAGTACATCGACATCCAAACTTGAACTGGAATCAACTACATCAGCAAGTTTGTTTACTAGAGGTCTCGTCGAAAATGGCGAAGTTGCAACAACAATACAAACCTTAAAAGTCGACGAGGTTTTCTCGTCTCCAAATCCACCAAAAGAAATAACTACAAAAAAGATGAAAAAGAAAGTGTACCCATATCCAAGATGGGATAAATGGAGTAACTGGAGCGCTTGTTCGCGAAGTTGCGGCGGAGGCGTAAAGTATCAAACTCGAAAATGCATTAACCGGTGAGTTAAAGTCTATTATTTTTGATACAACTTTTTCAGATTTTCATTTATCAGAGAAAATGGATTTTCGATTCAGTAATGTAGGCCTGGAAATCTGTTAAACCCTGTTAGTTTCTCAGTACTTTGTGTACTCTTTGCCAATTGATATTCAGTTCCAATTAGCCAATGTAAGTAATATATTTTTGTATTATTTTCAGAAACCTATTAACGAATAATCAGCTTACGAGTAATGCATGTGTTGGTTACTTCAAACGCTATGAGCTCTGCAATGATGTTCCATGCGACGCCCAATCCCCGGATTTTCGAGCCTCTCAATGTAGTGCTTACAACGATAAAGAGTTTCATGGTCATCGATATAGGTGGGAACCATACGTAAAGGGTACGCATTACCGAAATCTATAATGAAGATATAATAAAATTTAAAATATAACATATGACATTCGTAAAAATTATAATGTGAACGTAATGTCCCATTCTTTTTTTTGCAAAATGAGAGAATGAAAAACAGAAATGTATATTTTTATTAGATGATGCTGAATGTGAGCTCAACTGCATGCCTCTTGGAATTAATTCTTTTGCCACACTTAACGAGTCCGTAATTGATGGTACGCCTTGTCAACACCCCGCTGAATACTATCGATCGCAACTTTGGAACCGAGCTGTTTGTGTTGATGGTGCTTGTAAGGCAAGTAAAATTTGAATAAATTATTATAACTACAGTGCGTTGGAATCCTTGAAGTCGAGCATCAAAAATATTAAACACATACATTATTTGTTTTTGTTTCAACCTATAATTTAAAAATAAGGCATACAGTTCCATCACCAGCAGTGAAACAACGATCGGACATTAAAAGCACTAGCTTTGTGCTCTTTCCTTGATACTAAAGCTTTTTATATTACAAGAATCGCATTGAATGCTTAGTATTGGTTGTACATTGAATCATAAAGCACATACAATTTGTAGTGATCCGTAAAGAATATATTACGATAAATTTAAAGATTTAATTTTATTTATTACTACATTATTTGACGTGTTACGTTAATGTGTCAACTTGAAATTTCCTTTTTAAATATCTTTTTTAATTTTTTACTTCTGTCTCGAAAGGTTTTGTTAAAGGATGGCACATTGAAGTTTTATTGTTACCCCAAAATAAACGAAAGCGTTTCTAATGTGAAAATTATGAATACATTTCATTTCTTATCATTCGGGATAGCTTACTTTATTTCAAACTAAATTTAACCGGCTATTTACAATGATACAGCTTTTGACCTTGCTTCACATTTTTTGTCTTCTATACCGTTTCTCAAACGTTCGAAACCCTTTGTAATTTTAAATTTTGAATTGGTTCTTGAGAATCGGAATAGGTCAGCAAATCAAATCAAAGTAGAAAAAATTTCGTGAAAGCAAAAACTGGAATGGGTCCAATGAGCTTAATTTCAATGAATTATTTTAGTAAACACATTGCCGCAGTTGTGCGTACAGAAAGTCCATCGAAAAAGCAATTGCTTATAGAACATATGCCCCTTAATAAGACCGACTGAATGTATTTTGTACTCGTTTATTTTTTGTTTATCTTGTACTCTCATGAAGTGGCCAATAAATTATGTTTTTGCAAATCCCACAATTTCCACTCGTATTACCCTGAACTTACTATATATAAGAAGTATTTTAAATATTCTTGTGTAGAAGCGAAACATAGTTCTCGGAGAGTGGTTCGAATTAAAGAATATATTACTTTTTTAAAATATTTGTTATGAAACAGGTATTCAGTTTGTGATTGTATTTTAATAGGTCTATTTTAAAACAGTATTATCCTCTGTCGTGGATTGATAATAAGTGAATAATTATAACTTACAAGAAATGAAAACGTTGATAGCACTGCTATTGTTGGTGAGTGGAAATGGTTGTTTGGATTAAGACTGTTAGCTGGAATATAAATATATAAGACGAGTTCTTATGGTTAACATCATATTTTACATTTTTAGGCGGTACACGCCAGTGGCGAGATTGACGGATTGTATGCTCACAGCGGGTCCGTCAGTTGCGGTGGTTTACTGTGTCGACCTGTCACCGGGATCTTTACTCGAGATCCTCTTCCGGAACAAGCTTATATACATGTTGCTACGTTACCAGTGGGTGCCTCCAATATTTCAATAACGGAACTCAAGAACAGCATAAACTTGCTAGGTAACTATTTTGATATTGCATAATATTTTTGATAACCTTTTTCGTTTTGCATCCCAGTCCTGCGTACGTCTAAGGAGGTATCCATTGTCAATGGCGAAAATGCTGTGTCGGAAAGTGGATCCTATGAAGCGGTTGGCGCCGTATTTGACTATCACCGAATCGATGGAGCTCAGGATAGTAATGGGGTGACAGAGTGGATCACAAGTGTTGGGCCCATCAGGGACTCATTGCAACTTATGGTATAGGACTTTTAGAATATAACTTCTTAATTCTTCAAATTGTATTTGGTACTTCAGGTTTTTACCAAGACTCCGAACAATACTGGCATAAAGTACGAGTACATGCTGCCGATAATATCCGAATCCGAGGAAAACGAGATGTCCTTGGAGAGTAGCGATGGTCTGTTGAGGTCCGGAATTGAGGACACCAGTTCATTCAGTAGCTCGAGGCCTGGGCGAAAGCGTATTTTTAATTGGAAAGTAATTGGGTTCAGTGCCTGCACGAAATCCTGTGGAGGCGGCACTCAGGCACCCATTATACGTTGCATTCGCAAGAATCCACTGCGGTATTACTCGCAACGCCGTTGCACGCATTCCGTGAAACCGGTCCTCAATGAGAACCTACTGCACTGCAACACGCAACCCTGTCCGGCGTATTGGAGATTCGAGGATTGGGGCGAGTGCCGCTGTTTGGCCAGCGGAGGCTTCCGTCGGAGAGAGGTCAGTTGCGTTCAGGAACTGGCCTCCGGGCTGGTCATCCACGTCGATAAGGCCGCCTGTTTGGAGGATCAACCGCCCACCCAGAAACAGTGCGAATGTCCCAAGACCCGGCGTCGCAACTTGTCCCGATATCGCCTGCAAGGCGGTTCGGAGTCCTCGAATAGTACTCAGGTCAAGAGGAGCAAAACCGAAGGGTCCGAGCTAAATGCCATCTGGTTGATGTCCGAGTGGAATCAGTATTGCTCGGCCACTTGTGGCTCGGGCGTTGAGTATCGAACAGTATTTTGTGATCGCTCCAAGGCCGGCGAGCAGCGATGTGATCCCAGCACCACTCCCGAAAGTCGTCGACCCTGCAAGAAGCCCAGTTGCGAGTTGGGCGACTGGTTCACAGGTCCTTGGTCCTCGTGCAACGGCGACTGCTTCGACTTGACCCGCAGCCGGGAGGTGCTGTGCATCCAAAACCAGCTGATCACAGAGCCCAAGGAGTGCACGCCAGAGCTAAAGCCGCAAACTGTCGAGAAGTGCTCCCACGAGGAGGTGGAGTATTGCGCTGCCCGTTGGCATTATTCGGATTGGTCTGAGGTAACTATATATGGGGTATTATGGAAATCTTAACCATCTAAATTCCTGTAGATAGAAAACCAATGGACAATTATTAGATGTTTGTCTGGAACTTTCGAGATAAGGGCAATTTCTAAATTCTATAAACTAAAAAAATTCTTTGATCTCAAAAGATCTGTCCGTTTTCTAGGTTTTGAAGTTTCTAAGACCATAGTTTCAATTGAAAATAGCTTTTAAATTATTATCTGAATCGTTATTCGAATCGTTATTATCTTATATGTTACAGTGTACAAAACCATGTGGGGGTGGTACCCAGCGTCGCAGTGTAAAATGTTTGGAATACGATATAAAGATGAACGCCTTACGGGAATCAACGCAATGTCGTTACACGACCAGGGAACCCATATATCGTACCTGCAACACCGAAAAGTGTGAAGGTGGGTTTTATATTCACTGGCATCGCAAAATCGGACTATATTTTGTATTTTACAGAAGAACAGAAAAGTAAAGCTACTCCGACTTGCACTGATAAGTTCGCCAATTGTCAATGGGCTTCGCAAGCTAAGCTTTGTAGCTACGATTATTATCGCGAGAACTGCTGTGTTTCTTGTACTGGTGGCATTTAAAGTATTTAGCTTGTAAGAATCTTACTTAACTAATCATCCGACTCCTTAACCGCCGTGCAAAATAGCTACCAAATTGCAATTATAACCTTTACTCAGAATATGTCATCTTGTTAGATCAAGCAAATAGTATTTCTGACACTAAAGCTCAAAGGAAAGCTTGCAGGGAAGCGCAAAATTATATTATCGGTCAAGTAAAATGTTTAACGCCATTAAATAACACATACTAAAATAAACTAGATTCAGACTATAACATCATCATTAGTAAAATTATACTTAATATTTAATTAAACAATAAGGAACGAACATCAATGTTAATTTATGTGCAACTACATGAATGTTAATAAACCTGAGATTAAAAAAATACGTTAGCTCTTTTGGTATAAGAATAAATAAAATATTTAATGCACATAAGTACGTTTTATTAGTAATGGTTATCCAATTACATCTTTTTAATGTAACAAGCTTCTTAAAAATCGTTAGTAACTAAGGAAATATTTTTGAGATTGAGCATTTTGAATATTAGTTAGTGTTTGCCTTGCTTTAAAGGGTATAACCTAATATTTGCCAGATTAATCTTATTGTGAAGAAGTATAAAACTTCAACAAAGCCCAAAACGCTGAATCCAAGAAAAAGTCCGGCTGTTCCACCGATTGAAACTAAAACAGATGTTACAATTATAAATAAATACAAATATAAAAAACAGTAAGGAATTGACGTTACCCAAGAGATCGGTCAATGAAAATATAACTTGGCGTTTTAGACGAGTCTGGGGCCAAGTTTTGACTGTGAGCTGACTTCCAATACCTTGCAGTAAATGTTTGGCATTTGCCATTGGCTGAAAAATGTAGGAAGAATTAGTTTAAAGCTTATTTTATATTTCATTTTAAGAATTACGTCTATGGATTTGATTGTAACTACAGCATCTAGGCAGTTCTGTTCGCAATAACATCCAGAGTGCTTCTCTTCTTTGCCATTTTCCTCGTACAGCTTGAGAAAAAATTCTATATAGGGTATATATTTAAAATGAAGTAAGTCTTAGTTGTCCTTTCTAACATTTTTTTTATTTTTTATTTACTTGTACTTACTTGCGTGGCGAGGAAAGCACGATCTTAAAGTTTTATAATCGCACACCTTTTTTGGATTTGCGACTAAAACAAAGTTTTAAGTTTTATTATGATAATATGATATTTTTTTAACTTACTGCGATTCGGGTAAAAGTGGGGAATACATTTACATATTCGATATGCCAAATTGATACGGCACTCTTGCTGACAAATATTTCTCGAATAGAACGGATAATGGGTTAGATTAGATTCGTGGTAAAATCGGCATTTTCTCATGGCAATCGTGGTTTCACTGCGGGATATTCAAACATTCGATACTTTTTGTTAAAGATTTATTTGAGATACTTGCTGTTCCAGGTTTTCTTCAGCCACAATCTCTTCAGTGCTCAAGTCGTACATTATGCCGTCTTCAGCGTAATTAGAATTGGAGTCCACCTTACTCACTTCAAAAGCAGAATGGGCAAAAGCCTTTGGCGGGTTAAGTATTTCAGTTAATGAAGTCCTCTCTATTTAAGTTATTTAACTAACTCACAATTATTGCCGGTCCCGAAAAGCCCCTTAATGTGAATTGCGTGTCCCTTTGAAAAAACGAACCCACCTGACATTGAATAAGGGAAAGTTCCTGCTCGTATTTGTTGGGCTCCGGTGACTCTCCAAATATAAAGTACCTGGAGCTGTACTGGTCGGTTAGCATGGAGTTACCCAAATAGCACAATCCCCACTCAGTGAGAACCTGCCGCACATGAATGTAAGTCGAACCATCCACACAGCGGATGCGCTCATTGATGTTTGGCTCGTAGGTTTTATCATAGGTGAGATTGTAAATTAACTGCATGTAGTTTTCCGGCTTCAGGCCTATGTCCTTAATAACTTGATCGATCTGATCGCTCTCGGGAATGTTTTGAAAATTAATGTAAGTAGAGTTGGCCAGGTTCTCAAGGAAGTCCCAAAGAATATCTTTTTGTGATCCTTTAACGCCGTTTTTCCTTAAAATAGTAAATTGTGGGCTATGGCAGAAATTGAATTATTGATTATAGTGATTACCGACAATATTCAGCGAAGATGCTAATGTTGAGGCGATCCATTGGGCACACTGTTAGACTCGGTAATGTGGTATTCCAGAAGATATAATTTCGCTATGGATTCAATATATAAATGGTAAACAATCAGAGTTTTATTATAGTGTTAGGTTTTTAACTGTACCTCCAATCCGATATGTGTGCTTTTCGTATAGTAACGATCAATAGATGATAAGCATACAACGATACAGAAATATATTGAGACAACCAGCAAGGTGAACCAAAGAAATCTAAAATGCAAGCAAATGGTTCAGTTTTTCGAAGTAAATAAGCTAAATTGAATCACATTTTCCCATGCAGAGATTAATAGAAATGGAACGACTATAGCCCAAAAAACATTTTATAACAAATTTAATATGTACTTAATTTAAAATTCTTTTTTTTTTGTATTAATAGGGCGAATGTTTCACGCCCTGACATGGTAATGAAATTTACTTCTTGATATAACTTACTTTTCAAAGAACATAAGCATTGCTCTGGTGAGGTAGCGGAAGCCATGTATGCAACAATTGTTGAAATATAAAACCATAAAATGTATAACATTTCTTGGCCCCTTTCGATTTTTGAAGGACTTGAAAGACTCCATTTTGTTGTAAATTGTTTGGAATTTCCTTTTAATGTATTATTTTTTTAATGGATAAATTAGAACAGTTTATTTGTAGGACGCTACGTAGACGACTATATAGGGGCTTTCAGTATCAAAAATATTTATACCATTAAATTCGTTAGCGTGACTAAATGGCTTTATGTGATGAAGTGGCAGATAACTTCATTACTTATTTAAGATTATTTGACTTTGCACTTGGCGTGCTTTCACAATCAAAAAACCGATATGTTGTATGGTAGTTTGGAGAGTTGGAAGCAATTCCGGTTATTCTTAAAGTTTACATAATAAAAAAAAATTCCTAATAATTTATTTCCATTATAAGATCAAAAATCGGGAAATAAAAGTAGTTCAAAGTTTAACGAAGAAAAAAAGGGTACTCTGCGCTGAACAAAACAAAGAAGTATCGCTTAAAGTAGAATCCCTTTTCCCCACTTTTAAATAGAAAAAAGGCTGTATACCCTTTAAAAATCTTCACAATGTTTTAAGCTTTTAAGCCATTTGAGCTTGCAATAGCTTCATTTTTATTTTTGTTGGATTATGAATGTACGAATTTGCATTGGGATCAGAGTAACTACGAATTCGTGAGCGCTCATTGTAGAAACAGATGACATGGGACTATGAGGAGCGTAGTAATATTCAACGGAGGAAGGAATAACACCGGAGCCATCTTGACTGAATTTGAACCTCTTCATATCGCTCAACTGCATATTCCCGTCCAAAGTTGTTTCCCAAATCCGATCTCCGTTTAAGGACTTAAAGAGGGGTTGAATGTTAAAGCTAATCACGTTTCCTTCCGTGTTTAAGTTCTCCACTCTTATCAATATTTGGTCCTTGGAATATTGTTCAAAAGAGAGTAGTTCCACAGATTTAGGAAAGGCGGTGAAATCGGGAATCATGTGCTTGTTTACAGAGGGCACACTATTGGATTTGCTGAAAAACCTCCAAAAGTGTTGGTCCAGCTCGTGCTGTAGCAGTCGCTCTGCGTGATTTGGTTTCTCCGAGGCAGCATCGAGAATTAAATAGATTTTACCTCTTGCGATCAAACCAGTTCCATACTGAGTCTCATTGAGGGCTTCACCAACTCCGAATGCGTCGTCACTTAAGAGGCGACGATGCAGCATCAGCTCCAATTCCCCGTCTTTCAAGCTCGATCCTCCCTGAGCTCGATCGTTTAGCAGGGTGATTCGCTTTACGTCGTCTTGCAGGGAAATTTGCCCTGTTACAGGGTAATAGTTTCCGCTAATACCTTCCGACATATTTGGATCGAAGTTTTCCCGCTGGTTTCTCTTACGTTCTAGCATTTCACGGCCATTTGAGTCGGTATAGAATTTGCCCTTCGAGGCTATATTGCTCGAGAAGCGAGTGATTATCTCTTTTCCAACTTCGTCATCCGCCGGAATTGGTCCCACCAACCATTCGAACTCCACGTGATTTACCTTATCATAAATACGGATAACCTGGGAAATCCACTCGTTTACATATTGATGGACTTCTTTAACTCTGGTGCCGTTATAGAACGTAAGCTCCACTTTGTTATTGTTCAGTACTTCAATATCTCCGTCCGGTCGGAAAACGTATGCTCCGGAAGACCGGTTTTTGGCTTCATCATTATTGCCTCGGAATCCTTTGTATATTCCAAAGCTTTGTTGAATAGTTTCCGCTATGCCGTTCATTTCAATGGTTTTCAAGCCACCGGTAGTGGTATCAAAAATAAGTTTGACGAGCTGAAATGTTAAAGTCAATCAAACATTTTTATATTGAAAGACTTTTTCATAACAAAGTTCTCACCGAATTCTCCACTATTAATTCATCGGCCCCGTCCTGGACATTTTGCTCAGGGAAATCCCTATGGGTTTCTTCAATATTTTTTGGGGTTGGCAGTACGCGAATTAAAAAGTTGGCGATCTTCTCAACACTGGCTTTAAAGACCAACTCGTGTTGCGTGCCATTCGATCGATGTTCCAGAGCCAAAACTTCCCAGGGAACGGGTATAACTTCCGAGGGTATTTCACGACCTATTAGAATTTGAAAAAATATACTTAGTTGGTAGTATTAGTGTTTATATATTACCTTTTTCATCGGTGACTATATAGTTTTCGTTCTTCACCGGAACTCGCACATATTGCGTTGAAGAATGAGCAAGTGGATTTACTAGGGTCACAACCACATTGTTGGCTGTATTCTGGGTGAATGCACATGCACTTATATTCAGTTCCAGGCAACTTTCGAACTCTCCAGAAGTCAAATTCGTTAGGGATCGAAGGGCATCGCGAGCATTATTCTCGGCACCAACGATCGCCTTGAACAACATACGGTCGTAATCGCGGGCAACGGCCTGTTTTTCGGTACCTGTCACAGCATCATGATGCTGCATAATTCCCATCGCCTGGCCAAGACTTTCAAGATTTTCCAGGTGCTGAGTATCGGTCAAATTTGCCAAAACACTCAGTTGCTTAACTGCCTGGAAAAAGTGATTTCCATCCCGATGAAAGCGCTTCTGGGTGGGACGGGAGGTGAAATATCCTGTCCAATAAGAGTGCGAATCACTGGAGTACGGGAAGAAATCTTGGGTTTTGTTCGGCCAAGTTTGATGCAACTGATGCAGTTCATAAAGGTAGCAGGAGGGCGTTGAGTAGAAAACGTTGACTTGTGATCCCGCTAATTGGCGATCGTTGACGTACCTGATTTAAATTAGAATCAGCACAGATAAGGAACAAAATACGTAATACCCTAATATAGCTTATCACCTACTTAATCAGTTTGTCCATGTTTTTAAAATTAACTCCCGCGTCTTCATACTGGAAATCGTCTCCCATGGGTACCATTATGTGAGTGGATCGATAGGACTCTGCCACTGTCTTAACATAGTCGATAAAGTCACTCACTCTTTTGTCAACATTATTGTCATAGCTCTCGCCATCGATAATTGGAGCATCCTGACAATTGATATCAAAGCAAAATCCGGGAGGAGCGGAATAGTGATTGTAGAGCATTCCAGTAAATATGTTAGAATTCTTGAGGTATTCGCTCGATTGCCAAATCATCTCCATCTCTTGGTCTATCAGACGTTGCAATTTATCCAAGTAATCCATGCGAGCAAAAAATTGGCCATTATATCCCATTTGCGCAAATATAGAGGCCATTTCCCGGGAGTGGCCGAATGGATCGATCTGCCAACCGATTGTCGGACGGCCACAGTCACCGAAGATGTCTTTTAAGTACCTGTAATATAATTAAATGTAGAATATACTTTTATTTTAGTTAGGTTTTCCACAGTACTTACTTCAAACCCAATTTAAATTGATCTATTACACTTTGGTAGTGAACTGTGGCCTCATCGTTCATACTCCAAGCTCCTCCTGCAAATTCCAACCTTCCTTCTGCTACCAATTTTTGAACCGCTTGCTGGACAGTTTCGGTTTGTTCGGAGTACCATTTCGAAAAGAAGAAAGTTTCCACTTGAATAAAACGCCGTTTCGAGTCCTTCAAAAGCTCCTCGACCACTGTATCTAAAATATACTGCACTCCTGCGTGCTGAATGCTGTTCTGACTTCCGTAGTAATACTGATCAACCGTCTTCAGCCAACCGACATCGTCGTGCGAATGGGGGACCAAATGAACATTGATCATGTTTAGTTTTGTGTTGGGGCATGCCTACAATCAAAATATATATTTTAGGATGCACTTGACATTTTAAGTTTGAAAATACTTTGTTTAAAATTAACCAAATTAAAGATCACAGGTCGAAAAGGCACTGAACGTCCAGCTACAAAGTGTATTTCGAACTAACTAATACTGGGAACGTTACCTTAAACCCACAGGTTGTCTCAGATATCACTGGGTTCAGTAAAAAGAGGGTGATAAAAACCAATACACCACTGAAATATTCCATTTCGGTGAATGCTAAGCTCCACCGAGAGGTCTTATCGCGGTGGTTGAGTCGAATAAAATGAAACGAGAAATAAAGCAGCTCCTTAGACCCCAGCAATGTGCCACTTGAGGCGATAAACCTTGTACTGCGATCGCTTAAACTTGAGTGTGATTATGAATTAAAATCCATTTAGGAGCGCTGGCGATAACTTTTACACCCTAAATAGAGGGAAATACACATTAATGCACATGGTATTCATCAATTGTATTTGCTTATAACAAGAAACCATCGGTTTCTTTTACAACACAATAATTATAATTGTATTGGAATGAACTTCAAGTTGGGGCTTATCAAAATAAGCATACATATTCGTATTTGTTTATGTTTGAGTTCTGTATTTTGCATTAACATTGTTATCTCTGTTGCAATCATTTCAAGTAATTAATTATTCAGATTACGAAGGGTAATCGAATGGCTTTATGAATTTGAACTCAAATAAGTGGTATATAACCCCGCGGTCTTGTAAACAAAAAACTTTTCATTATTTTTATTACCACCTCTTGAAGACCACATGCGAGTTAATCGGCAATGATTACTCCTCTCTATTATACTTGTAGAAGTGATGCAAATGTGTTTCGTTTTCCTTTAAGAATGCTTATATTACTCATCCAAACCTTCACTAATTTTAAAGAATTAAAAGATTTTACTGCGTAAAGTTGCTCAGAGTGCTTATAACAAACATACACATTTGTTAATGCTTTTCTGTAATGTACTAAATAATGGCCTTGACTTAAGTGAAAAGCTATACTCTTACTATAGGAAAAAACATTTGTATTTTTAAATGGCTTGGTTAATATTATGACTTCTGGTAGATATTTGTAATGTGTATAGTACACAGATCTGTAAATATTTAAACTTTGCCCCACTCTGAATAAATTTGTAATCACGCCATTTATATCTTTCGTCTTTGGCTTTTAAATATGTTTTAATCGTTCGTTTTTTCGGCTTGGGAATTTAAATTTAAATTTAGAAACTTACTCTTTTTTGTTTAAAGTAAGCGGAGAGAAATGTCTAAATAAATCTAGCGTTAGTCGCCAAAATAGCAGGGACCGAAAAAAGTTTTATTTTTAAAAGTCTACTGTGATTTTCAGCTAGTTGTAGGGTTTTTAAAATAAAAATCACAGATAATGGTTGTTTACGTCCTTTACTGTTCTTTAAGATTCGCTTGGTCTCGGAATTTTCCCAGGTATTTAATCAATGTAATCAGGGTTATCAATGTTCTATCAATCACCTCTCGTTTTAATCGTTTTTAGACGTTCTTCGATCCCATTAACAGACATCTGAAGATGTGCATACCTAGGACTTACGTAATCTAATTAGCGCGGATTAAATTAGTTAATTTTTAATGACAATCTGTAAGTGAATACTGGGTAACTGTAGTCTGAAACAGTTGTACCTATTTTTATT